AATACCGTCGGATTCAGGAGAGACCAAGGAGACTATGGGTCGCGCTATGTAAATAATTACAACCCTGGAGAGCACTATAGACGGCAAGGAGAATGGAGGGGGTCGGATTCATTTGACAACCTGGATCAGGAAAACTACCGAAGTGGATGAATTGAGCAATTACCACAAGTTAAGGAAGAAATTGAAGTTGAAAGAGGAGGAGTAATGGAAAGCCTCCAATCTGGAGCATGGAGAAGAAAAAGGACCAGCAGAAAGAAAGCATTATTTTAGAAAAACAAGACGTGAAAAGCATCTTCCCGCAAATAAATAAACCGACAATTAGAACGAGAACTACGGTACAAAGAAGATCGAATTAAGTTTCGAGAATAGTAAATTGCAATCATTCAAGAGACGCTGAATTAGCCGAGAAAAAATTAGTACAGGATGGAAGAGCAGCACGAAGTTTCTGGAGGTGCTGGGAAGTTTGGTTCAGCACTACCAATTGGACAAGTTAGTTTGTCATTAACATATTTTTAGGTGGAAATGGGGTTTTAAGTTCAGGTTTAGGATTTTTGGGCATCATTAATTTGATATGGAAGGGGTTTGAGTCGCTTTATGATTTTTCGAGTTAGTTTAGGAGTTTTTTTAAGTTAGGCAGGTTAGTCTAGTCAACTGCAACGATTAGGAGGTGAATCCGAGGATTGCTCTCCAACTTTGAAACCTACTTGTGTAGGGGGTCGATAGGGTTCTCGATAATTAGGAGTTAGGAGAAGTGAATACCCGATTTCTGGTTAGGCTGATTTGTGAAATTGTGTAAGACAAAAAATTTAAAAAGTAGAAGGTTTCCTTTTTTTATCGTTTCGGGATAAGCTCCCGTTTATTGTTAATTGGTAAAAAACAAGGTGGCGGTCGACCTCAAAAACCATTTTTATCCTTAAAATATGTTAAATAATTTCAAATGGAAGCGTGAGAGCTTTGGCTCCAGTAATAGCGACCCTGTATATATAGAAAAACCCCCAAACAAATTTTTTATTCACATTTTATAAGGTAACAAGTGAACCCTTGACTTTGGCTGATTGAAATATTGAAATCAAGTCATAAAATTTAAATTCTTGACAAAAAACGAATCTTGAATTAACACCAAATACAATAGGCAATTTACACTTATATTAGGCACTTAAAATTTATTAATCAATTAATCATAGCTTTCCGTTAAATTTTATACGAATTCTTTCTACATTAAGCTATCCAATGTTTACTTTCGCAATTCCTATAAGCGTACAATTTTCCATGCAAACTTCTACTACATCATGAGAAACATTACATATCTTGACACCCGCTAACCAATAAACCAAGCTACCTTTCTTCCCCCAAAATACTGACCCATTAGCTTCAACTTTAAACTGATATAAACCCTGCGGTAATGGTTAAGGTCCGTTAGCTTATGGTCTATATTTGTTACCGGTTTAAAAGAAACTGCCAAAAAAACATTTGCGGTTAGTGTATAAAGAATTTCAAGTAGAAATAAAGTTCCCAATTTATGACGTGTAAAGTTAAGGGTTACCGACGATAATTGCTTTATTTCATTAGATGGAATTTGCAAATAATGCACAGGACACGACCAGACGACCATACCTTAAAATCCCATAGTTAAGCGACGTACTTCGTGCAGACAAGTGCTCATCTGATACCCAGACTCGCACGGTTTCTCGTTTTTAATTTGACTGCATTCCTTAAGCTTCTCAACTGCTTTCGCGTAATTGTCCTGCATACATTCTAAATTGGCCGCACCACTCTCCGTCAATTTCTTCTGTTGAACCAGCGTGCATGTCAGAAAGCACTTGATCGCATCGCTCGGTTCCGTTGCGATTTTACCGGTACGATAAATCTCGTGAACCGTTTTCATATCCTCGTCCTTGATATTCTCCTTCTCGCGGCACTCCTTTTCGATTTTTGCGAAAGCTCCGAAAAATGGCTTGGGTGGACATGTTTTGGGCTCTTCAGACGGTGCACCTTTTTCAGCTCCAGGTTCCTGTTACATAATATGATAATATGCCGTTGATCAACGTGTCCCATACGTACCTGACTGATGGAATTGGCAAATGTGCACAAAAGAATCAGAGCAAAGGCTTTCATTGTGTTAACTCCAAACGTTATGGTCGAGAATGTCGTTCGAGATGATTTTATGTAGTTTATAATAAATGGGCGATGGCGAGCTTTGTTCGTTCAGCACAATACCGTCAATTTCCCATTATGAATTGCAGTGGTTTTTATTTTGGTAGTTGCGCAACAATTTTTTTAGTTTTAGAATGAAATTGTCGTGTTTTTTACATATCCTACAGCACCAAATAGTTTCGGGTTAATTTTTACGGGTTTATGTATTATAAACTTGAAAGAACTGCGTGGAACACGGCGTTTTTTGGTAATCTGTGTTGGCACCGTTTATTGCCTGGTACAGACGTTTGCGCTCAAGCAATTCTGATGTGATATAGTAGGACTTTCCTTAGTTTTTGAGCACGTCATTGGTGTATTATGACGTCATCACTAAGTATGTGCATATAGCATCATGCAATCATTGGAAGAGAATACGCATGTAGGTAGCGCAGACTGCAATCATGACTTATCCCAGACTAACGAGCAGAGCCACCGTTACTTTCATGTCAAAATGACGGACGCTTCGCGGCACTTGCGAATGCGGACAGCAGTCGGTGTTGAAACTGGCAGTTTTTTTATATACAATTGCTAAAGGAAATTGAATAAAAACACAGAATGCGTGAGAAAAGTCGAGAACATATTAAATATGTCGATGTCAGGAAAACCTTCGTTGGGACAAAAACCCTGGCATGGCCCACACGAATACACGAACTAAATTAATAAAAACAACAAAAGCAAAGGCAAATCCCCAAAACATTTCAACTTGTATAGATAAAAATCAGGTCACAAATCAAGATTCGAGGAACGTTAATTTTTTTCCAAGAATATGAACGTGCGTCGTTCCAGCTGGTTGTTGAACTTTCGCTGATCTTTCTGTTTTCGTCCTTATAAACTTAAATAGTTATAATATGATATTGTTCTCATCAATACCAGTATGTTACCTGCGCCCTTCGGGTATAATTTTCTTACGGTTTTTGCAGTCTTTATAAAAATTAAAAGGACCGAAATCAAAAAAATTGTAAAATGTTAAATTGTTCCGAAGAGCAAAACCTTGGGCAAAACCCAGCTAACATAAGAATTGCTAGGCTTTAATTTCTCATGAAGACACACCCTTGTGTAAAATCTGGTCGCTGTTTTTATACAAAGAGCTCATAATAGCAAATTTATGTTTCCGGACCAATAATCGTACTCGATAATAACTACAATTCAAAAACCAATTTTGGATCCGATTATATATAAAGACTTTTGTTTTTGGTGCCCACTGTACATTTATGTCACAACCTGTGTTTTGGTTGCCAATGCCAGCCCATGTGGATTGTGGATACCTATGACCGCAATTTTAATAATGCCTTTTACTTTATACAGTGCGTTCCAAAAGAAACGCAAAAAATTTGTATATTTTTACTGTTGAGTTTTAAAAAAAATGCGTTGATTGCAAGCATCTTATATATGCAAGTAAACTAAAAATCTAAAAAAAAAATCAATCTCATTCAATGGCCGGCAGTGACCAATTGTTACGAATTTCCTTAACCAGATCTTCATCTTAGTGGGCGTTATAACCAAATTCCCCGCGTTTAACAATCGAAAGCAGACTTTGCTTTCATATGGAAAACCTTCCTTCTGTTACATTCTTATAATTTGTGCTTTGAAACAGTGACGATCATATCGCTGTTCATTGCACAGCCATTTTAACGGCTTAGTTACGTTTACAGGGGTTGAAAGCTCCACTTGCATAAAATAAATAATCTCTACGGCTTTGGTAAAAATGTTATTGTGTAATGGAATAATTAATACGACAGCTAGCTCAGTAATAAACAAAACTTTTAATGAGACTTACCTTGTGGAAAGTTTGTTCTTTATTTCCTCTTATCATCTGAAAATTTCAATTCCTGTGTCGTGATTACGTTTCAAATCTAATTAATTATTTAGATTGTTTAATATTTGTAATTAATGGTACATTTTCCTATTTAACATATTAAGACATCTCTGGATTCCAAATAAAATCCACACAGAAGAATGGTCTCAACGTACTTAAAATTTCTTTTCACAATAAATGCGAAAAAATCACCAATATCTTTTGTTTGAGTTCGCTTACCATTCATAAAAAATAGACAAAACTGTTCACGGAATAAATTTCCGTGGGTCGACTTCTTCAGGAATGTTAAAATGACTTTGAGCATACATTGCTATACAAAACGATCAAGTTCTGTTATACAATGCAAAGATTTCAAATATCTTTCATTTATCGATGAGTCGAAGTTTTCTGCAAATTACAGTCGATTTTCTCGTTTTAAGAGAAATTCCGAAAATTGGTAGACCGCGTTGTGCAATACAATTGGACCTTCTGTATCGCCTGGTAAAGTTGACTACTCGTTGAATGTTGAAAGATTTGAATAAGGCCCAAACTGGGCTTCAGGTTTATCTAAAGTTAGTAGTAGCGCTAATTAATCGTCTTTAAGCTTTTTACCGTTTTCCGTTTAATCCGAGATTTAATCCCAAAAAATCTTATTATCGCCTCGTATAGACAAGAGAGAGCTTTATAAACCTGTTTTTTTTCGTAACCGACCACTCCAAATATAAACGCAATGAAACGTTCTATACTGTTGATCACAACGCTTTCGTGGCAGAAATGTATTTAAACGCGGTCACGCTGATCAAATAATGCAACAAAACGGAAATGTTCACACCACTGTATATTAGTACTCGTGATGGGAACACGCAATGAATTTAAAAACGATTATACGGATCCGTCTTGAAAATTTCATTTGAAAATATATTTTTCGCCTTGCAGGTTCAGCAAAGAATCTTCCTCTCCCACCCAATTTTTCCTAATGCGCGAAGTCGAAACGAAACCGACACAAACCAAGTTTGGCCACTTTTGTTGTACAGTAGAAAATTCGCCCCTCATGCCGTAGGAACGATCTCTACAACTGGCAACACTGTGGCGTTTTGAATCTTATCTGTGTGCACACTCGCTTCTTATCTGAGCTTCATTCAATCGCATTTTAGTTCGGTTCTTTTGACTATGAAGGGGTACACGTATAAAATGTCACATACTGTCAAATTTGTAAATGCCTACTTATGCAACAACCTCATTAAACCGCTTAATTTAAATTTTAAAGTATGGACTTTCCTAAACTCACACGAATTAAATCATGTCTTCCAGCAAGCAAAATCCTGTCGCCTATCTATTTACCATACGTTACACAATATGTACAGGGTGAGTCAACGATTGCGCGGAGTAACTTAATGCCTTGAAGATAAGATTTTTCGATAGAGTGCTTTTGTATTATGATATGGTTGGATATTCTTCACATTTTAAAAATATTTGGAATTATACAGGATGCGCCCACGAAGTAGGGCGCCAAAATGGTACATTTTTTAAATAGAACCCCCTGTATTTGAATGCATTTTTTATTTCTACGTGTAATTGTACGTCTTTTTTATTATATGGTTAATATCCAAAAAAACTAGTAGTTTTAAAGATAATTCGATTTGTAAGAAAAATTTGGCATTTGCAAGCGTCAGTATATTGTCAAAATTATTACTTCAATTTTGATTCCAGGTTTTATATCTTATCTTGGGTTAAGTAAAAGTCAAATAAATACGTCTACTATGAAACATTGAAAAAAATAGCGTACAGGGTGTTTCTTTGTAGATAGAAAGTTACAAAACTTCATATTAAAAATCTCATTTTTTTTAAATGGAACGCCCTGTATGTTTTTCTGTCATCTGTTAGCTCCTCCAAAACCAATAGTGAGGTGGCCATGCAAAAAAATGGCAACTGTTTACCATTATGATTCCAATGCCTAAAAAAAACTCATATTTTGTTGCCATTGCCAACATATCTTGTCATTACGTATGTCCACAACGTTTTTATACGACGACCAGAATACATTCTCACATTCTCACTCGCGATTTTCCACTTCCTTCAAGGTTTACGTTTCGCAGGTTTCCAACTCCTCCGTTGGTAAAAAAAAACATACAAAATTCTGAAAACACTGTAAAATAGCAGTAGGTAATTTTATTCATTCTCAACAGTTTCTGTGCAGTAACCTTCTGTTTCTTACTACCTGTTTTTTTCAGTATCTCGACTAGTATCTTTGACATAAAACAAGTCAAAAAGCAAAAGGTTAAGATTAATTTATAAGATAAGAGACACTAAACCTAAGACTGGCTAAAGGGATTATTAAGAGTTTATCTCAATCGTCTATAAGGTCGGCGTACATATTATTCATACAGCGCTGAAGTTGATACCCGGCTTCGCATCGATTTTCGTTTTTAATTTCGTTACATTTCTCCATCCTCTGCAGCAGCCTCTCTTGACCTGCCACGTCGGCAGTGAAATTAGGCTCTCCGTTTGGTTTGAGTGAGCCTTTCTCCACCAAGTAGCATCTCAGCAAGGCCATGCCCTTCTCATCAGTGATAAACTTTCGCACATGCATGCTGGAACTGACCTGCTGGACGGTGTCTGGGTCACTACCCTCCTTTGCAATGCAATCATCAAAAGGATATCTCTATCAAATTATTATGTATCAGTCACTTGTGCATATTAGCGATTACTTACTGAATGCGAATACATCAAACCACAAAGGGTTAGTATCAATACCTTCCACATGACGGTGAACGAAAGTGAATTTGATAACCATTTTTCATCACTTATATCTCCTTCCATTGTTACTCACCGATTTGCATAATTTACTTCTGATTATCGTTGCGCAATTCCACATTTAGAGATAATTCAGTAGGATTATAAGCGATTTATTTAATTACGTCATAGGGATAGATACAATTTAAGCAAAGCTTGGTACAAAGTTAGCAGAATGTCTACCGTGACCATTCAGGTAAAATTACTTTTCCGTTAAATGCGTTGGCTACTCCAGCGACATAAAGGCGTTACGTATACATGTCATTGCATTAAATGCCAGATCACATGGAGTCTCTGCTTTAAGGGCGCTACAGGCGTCCATCATCTCGGTCGCCTTGACCAGCCGATCTCTGAAGGGCATCAAATTCAGTTCACCGGTGGTGGTCATCGTGCCATCCTTTTCCAGGACGCACTTAAAGAAGCATTTCACCGTCGTGTCGTTTCCGGCGTTACCGGACTTGAGCGCGCGTTTGGCCAAGCTCGTGTCGACCATCAGCTCCTTGGAGCAAGCCTTGCTGTTCGCCTTGACGGTCGCCTCTCGCACCGACTGGAATAAGAGAAAGTTAACGCTACAATTCGGTATTGATTGCTACTCACGTCTTGGAGAGAGGTGGTCGCGTAGAAACACAGGAGTATGATCAGGGCAATCTTCATGGTGTTGATAGACAAGTTAGTAGGGGCCCGAGAGACGTTTATATGGAATACTGAGCGATTAGTTTGTACTAATCGCGGAAATTTGGTCGATTTAATAGTGATCAAGATAGAGATAATTATGTGGTCATTAAATTCAAAGTCATCTGTATCGTGATAAGCTAATGGAGAACGATGCCTAGAATTCCACTTTTTCAATACCATTCTAGTGTTTTCTTAATGAAATCATAATCTCTTGTTTGGTTTGGACAGATTTACTCATTCCAGAAAGGTAGTTGTCATTTTGCTCACAAGCAACCAAAACTAAATAAAATAAACATGATTATTAGAATGACCCAAAGTTTGGGGTTGAGTAAGAATTTCCTTCCCATTTACTTCCTTATTTTTCTCGGTGATTTAAGTAATGCTCAAGGGTATGCTTCTGTTTTAGTATGGTTGACGTATTCCTAGAGATGGTATCATTTATCTAATTTGGCCCCAATGCTTTCAGCGGCTGAAACCTTATATGCATAAACTGTATCACTCCTTCTAGTTCTGGGATTTCGTTTGGTTGTTTTAGCAACTGCTCAGATAATCTGTTGAATTCAGCGTCCCATTTTCTTGCGGTAATGCTAGTTACCATTGGGCCCCGTGACGATGTATCTGCTCCTAGATTTGAGATTGTCTCTAAACATCCTTGTATGGTGCCGTTGAGCCGTTTCAATTGCGATCCATTTTCGTTTTCCATTCTCGAGAATTCCAAGACTCTATCAAATAACTTATTTACCATTAATCTTTTGTTATTATACATGCTTTGAAGGATTTTCCATACTGTCAACTAACGTTGTTCCGAGATCAATAGATGTCCCGTTATTTCCTCTTCCATCTGGATCAGTATCTCTCTAAACTGCCTCAGACAAACTTCCTGTTTTTTTATCCGGAGCGCTTGTTCCATATCCATTTCTTCATTATTCTGCTCCGTCTGCTGGTGTTTCTGTAGCTCCTCTAGTTAACCTTTCGCGCTGTTGTGGTGTTCATGATTTGGTAGTAGTAATATCCCACATAGCAGACCTATATACATTGCATATACCATGTACATTCCACGTGGGATAATGTATATCCATAGAATGTGGAAAAGTATGTCGCAAATGTCCGATGTATGTGCATGGGATATAAGTTTGGCAGACTTCACAAAATACATAGTATATACGTTTTGGATGTCTTATGTATATGCATGTATATGCATCAGACTACAAGCGTCTATACCAGAGCTGGGCAGTATTCGATTTTGTAAATACTTTTTAGTATTCAAATACTTTGTAATTAAATACTTTTATGGAAGCAGTACTTGTATTTGTAACTCAAATACTTTCATAAATATTTAGTATTTGAATACTTCGCAAAGTATTTGAATACTTTGAGAAGTATTCGAATACTTCGCATAGTATTTGAATACTTAACCTTCCTTTTTTACCAAAAATCGGCTACACCAAAATTTCTCGGGAAAACACTTTTTCTTATTAATTTTGGTGCGTAGAATCCAAATCAATTCGTACTTTTTCGATCAGACTTCTCAATCAAAAGTTATAGACTAGAAAACAATTTCGAAAGAAAATTCAAAGGGCTGTAACTTTTGAACTAGTAGCCCAATCTTGGAACTGTTTGAAATTTTGGATTCTACAGGCCACATTCTATAAGAACATTTTTTCCGGGTCGATCTGAGACAATTTTTTTTCTGGCCTCAAAAAAAAGCAGTGTATAACCTTCCTTTTTTTTACCAAAAATCGACTGCACCAAAATTTCTCGGGAAAACACTTTTTCTTATTAATTTTGGTGCGTAGAATCCAAATCAATTCGTACTTTTTCGATCATACTTCTCAATCAAAAGTTATAGACTAGAAATCAATTTCGAAAGAAAATTCAAAGGGCTCTAACTTTTGAACTAGTAGCCAAATCTTGGAACTGTTTGAAATTATTACCTTTACTCCCCTTAAATTTGTATATAACAATAGAAATATAAAAAAAGCTAACCCCATACAAAGTATAACTTGATTTTTTAAGTTGTGTTAAGACTTTTATCTAGTATACTATTTTACATTTTTAATGTATCTGAGTGACAAGTATTTGAATACTTTTCAAAGTAAGTTAATGAAATACTTTTCAAAGTATTCGAATACTTTTTATAGTATTCGAATACCTTTGATATAGTATTAGAATACTTTTGAAAGTATTCGGATGCATTTTAAAGTATTTGAATACTTCTTTTTTTTAAGTATTTGAATACTTTTCAATGTATCTGTATCTAGTATTCGCTTGTGCTGGACGTAAAAGTATTTAGTATTCAAATACCTTTGATTTGTGTAAAGTATTTACTATTTAGTATTCAAATACTTTTTGAAAGTATTCTGCCCAGCTCTGGTCTATACCTTCATAAATAAATTCTTTTCACGGAGTGGAGCTTTTTGTTTATTAAGTCTCTCAGTGTACAATGGAAAATGTGCTTAAGAAATTATTATTGTTTTATTTAACACTGTAGTCTTGAGTCATTTTGATCGTGTTCTTGTTCAACACTCTAATAGCGCGAGTTCATAACAAATAGGTTGCTAACGTACCTGCCATTCTTGTCCTTATATTAATTCCCATCCAGTCTTTACATCTCACTAGCACATATTTGCAACTTTAGATCATGCACACACGAAACAAAAATCATTACTTTCACTGTCAAAATTAGACAAACAAACTCATTAATAACTCGCAGAATAACACTCCTGATTTTAGAAAAATGAGCTGTATTTGCAATAGCACCTTACTATCTTCATCGCCGTAATTCACAGAAAATGAGACGCTAACGTTTGTAACGTCGGTAATACAGAACACGCATGTATCAAATCCAAAACGCATATACATAACATATAATCCCATGTATATACATAGCACATCCAAAATGTATATTTATAGAATATCCATACTGAACATAAAATACATATGCCTATCCTATATAATGAATATACATAGTATATACATAAGATGGACAGGATATTCCCTGTACATTATTGATTTAAAATGTATATACATAAGATATCGAATGCTATGTGCGACAGGGCTTATCCTAACTCAAAAAGTCACTAGATGCGAAACAGTCTCTACAAAAGTAACTAGCTTTGGAACTCTGCTATCGCGCATAGGGTCGATTCTAAGTCAAAAAGTCACTAAATTTGAAAGTTACTAGAAAAGTTACTAGGTTTGAAACTGTGCTGCGTGGGTTCGAATCTTTGCTAGTACGGTTCCGAACTATCTCGTTTAGTTGCTCCATTAATAATTACGCAATAGCACTAAAATATCCAAAACAACGCACTCTCCGGAGGGTATTTACTGGTATTTGCGGGTCGTTGCCACAAACCTGGTCGTTGGGAAGCGTAAATCCTCCAAGATCGTATCTTGAGATCTTTTCTCTACCGCTCACTCTTTTCGTGTCGTCGGAGCAGGACCCTGCTGATGTTGCTATATCAGTATTGATTTGTTGCCGATGGGGTTGGCTCGACCTGCGGACTTAACCACGGTTCGCAAATTCTTCTATGCTTGAAGGACCGCATGAGATTGCTCTAATATGGTTAAGTGTGAGCGAAATATATTAATTTTCTGGACATCCTATGTATAATCGCACGATTCGAATCGAACATATGAATTATTCGCCCACGATTTCATTTACGTGAGATTTATTATGATGCCATGAAAGAACCGAAAATCGGACCACCACTGGTATTTTTTTCAGAACCGAAAACCGAACCGAAACCGTTATTCCTTTATAAATAGAAACTTACTGAGAACAGGAACCCTTAAGTTGTTAAGTTGTTTCGGTTTTTTACGGTTCTAACAGCTTATTGGAAGTTAAAATATTAAAATTAAAATATCACTCTACGATTTCCATCGGTGGATTATAAATTTTTAATAAAGTGTCGAAATTGAAGGCAGTACGGGTGGCGGTGGAGGTAACTTAGCCACTACTGTAAATGTAAATAATAAATGGAGGGACGAGGTCTTAGAAAACAACAATAAAAACAATACTCCATAAGTTTTTGTGTATTTTTTCCGCTTTTCTAAATTAATTAAGTTTAAATACATATTTCCCTCTTCCTCCTTTATTTCCTACACTGACGATACGTCACGTTTTGGTATTCATGACTTTATACTCGCTTTTTCACACCTATAAAACAAATAACGTTGTTATAATGAATTTTTTTAATGCCACACTTTCTAAGACTAGAACCGAAAAGGACACGTTATGAACCGAAAAGAATGCGCAGAACCGAACCGTTATTTTTTTAGAACCGAAACCGTACCGGAACCGTAAATAAATAAGTATTTCGTTTATTTTTCGCTCAGTGACTAAAACGACGAATCCCGCCTTTTAACTACTCCCATAAAAAGATCTTTGCGAACCAGGGAAACGTAGCTTCCCTCTTGGTGGCTGTACAAAAAATAATATTTTTTTTAATTTCCTTCTCCTTGACACGTTCCCACCTAAAGCGACAATTTTTTTAATGATAGTCTTTACCACGTCATAAAAAAGCAACGTAAAACGATTCTTAGCCCTGTGTTCGTTGCAGAAATAATTCATTTGAGAAATATCGACTTAAAATTAGAATAACAAATTTTCAAAAACCCCCTATCTAATAGAACTACTCTGCCTAACCCCTAAACTGGGCTACCCTAACAAAACTTCGAAAAAGTATCAACTCCGTTAGAAAGCTCCTGTTACAATACTGCACGACTTCCTTCATCATTTAGTTGGAGGGGAGAGGAGACAAACCGCTCCAGAAAACTTTTGATATAACACTTGTATATTCGCCTTAAATAAACTCTAAGGCAATGCGAATGTCAATAATTACATTTGAGCGCCCATCTACAGGGTGTTTAAAACTAATGGTCAATTTTAATAACTTCAAACCTTGAAAAGTTAATTTTTTCAAATAAACTATGTAAAATGGCGATCAAAATTAAATCATTCTCATGCAGTCTCAAGTCAGTATTGTTGACTTTTTGAAATTCAAGTCAACGTAGCCGTAGGTACAGATAAAACCTTGGGTAAAACCGAAAGTGAAGCGATCATGCTATTTTATTTAGATGGATCATGAAAAACTATGTTTGTGTATAGATTTATCAATGAGAGCCTGAATACTTTTAGGCAATTACAAGCCTCATTTGATATTAATCGGATACTAGTGCGATCTTAATAAAATGAGATCCAAAATAAACATTTATCTCGCTAACTAATAAACATTGTCTAAATTAACCGATCAAATTTCCGGCTTAATTGAAATTCAAAGCGAAAGACAAATTGAGACGTACCACGAAAGTGGAAGGCGTTATAAGATCTTTAGTAAGGTATTCGCATCGGTTTTTAGACAAGAACAAACGGCAGCGGAATGTGTTTCAGGTCGACATGAGCACACTTACACCCTCTTCATTTCGATTCTCATTATTTTTGCGCCCCTTTTCTTATGGAAACGCTGAATTTTTCTTGTATAACCTGCGAAAGGTATTTCCTTAACTCTAGATTATACATGGTTCGAGAGAGTGTCCATGATAGTAATATTGCTAAATTGCGTTACCCTCGGCATGTACCAGCCTTGCGTGGATGACGACTGTAATAGTAATAGATGTAAAATATTGCAAGTGAGTATTCGCAACGTCGAGGGCCAAATGGCGAATAATCCCTCTCGTTTCAGGTTTTCGACGACTTTATTTTCGCGTTTTTTACGCTCGAGATGATGATAAAGATGATCGCGATGAGCGTCTGGGGTCCCGGTTCCTATTTAGCAGACTCCTGGAACAGATTAGATTTATTCATCGTCTTCGCCGGTGCCGTCGAATACTGTCTAAACGTCGAAAATTTAAATTTCTCGGCGATACGTACGATACGTGTTCTAAGACCATTACGTGCCATCAACAGAATACCAAGTAAGTGCTTTACATTTCGTTTTCCTTTAATGTGTTTATACAATCTAATTCGTTTTCAAGTGGATGTTATTAACTTTATCTTGTTAATTATAGCTCGGCGATTGTACAATTTCGAGAACTCGAACTTTATTAATTTTGAGTGCGTAACTTAAATCTTTATTTCGACGCTAATTAGCGCAGAGCAGAATCGGTTCTTCTTGCTTCTCCTTTCGTTACAGTAAACAGCGTTTTTACGTCGTCCCATTATCGAAAATAAGAAATGGACAAAAACAGGCAAACATTCTTGTAATACATTAATTAGTGCGAGACCAAACAGAACTTTTGGTTTTGTTCAACTGTGAAGCAGTACATTACCAATTGGTGACAACTTTGATTTACAACAATAATACCCTGTACCCAACGTTTTTCCCCCGAAGGGTAAAAAATCTGTGTCCATATTCAATCCTCTGTGTCACTATAACAGTTTCAGTTTAATTTTGGGCACGAAAAGTGTATATAACTTACGCATTTCCTTAATTTGGTTTGAAGCTCATCCTGGAACAGATTTTGGGGAATACCAGGATCATCTACACAGCTTAAAAGTCATTTGAGAGATTGACTCCTCCAATATACGTATATTGCAATGTACGTAATCTAAATAGTATGAATCGTTAAGGTTTCGGTAAGGTTTCGGTAAGGGTATACTGAGAAATCCGCAAGCATTGTGTACTTCCCCACACAGTTAATGTTGGTACAGAGATGGATATAATGGGGATAATTGAATAATTAAATTTTTGACCGCAAACAACGTTAGCTTGCAAATAATGGCCCGCTTACGCAACTAGTCGATAAAAACGACTACAAAACATTGTTATCAATGGGGAGTTATTGTAATAATGAGGGTCATTTGATATCTTTTACACCATTGGCAGTGTGTTACACGCGACGTAATTCCTTTGGGATCACTTTTATTCTTTATCCCAATTTCATTTTACTTTTAGGAATAATACCTGAATAAAGTCGTTGTTTCCTTGTAGAACAGTGTTTAATTTTATACCATATAACCGTGAGGATAGTTAAAGGGATCACTTTAATCGCATGAAACAGATGAATGTGCACTCTAATGAGATCTGTCCTTCTTACTTCAAATGGGACGCGAAGCACAATATAAAATGAAGTTCAGAACATATGACACTGCTGTTTTTATGGAAAAGACCGCAACGCAGAACCTAAGTTTGCTTTTTTTACGTCTAAATTAAATTCAGAATTGTCAGAAGTTTTACAATGATTTAGATGGGTTCTGCTATAAAATAACGTTTTATATTATACACGACTATAACGGTAAAGGGAAACTAACAATCTTGTGAAAATCCATTTATCAAAATATACCAAATGTAGCAGCTATAACTTTGTGCTAATTCTGTCATTGATTAAAAGTGTGCTTTGAAGACCAAAAAAAAACCTGTGTGTGTTCCTAAGAATAACAGCAGTTAATTTTCTGCTATTCAGGGCCGAGGGACAAATTAAAAATTCTATGCCCTTGAAAAGTACCCGCAATTCCCAACTTTTCTTTTAGTCTAGTCAATTTACTACCAAAATCGCCAAATAAAATTCAAAAAAACCTAAAAGTAGTGTTGAAAATTGCCCAAAATGTTCTTTGGTCCTTCCTCTTGAACATAGAATGTGGCCTGTAGAATCCATAATTTCAAACGGTTCCAAGATTGGGCTACTAGATCAAAAGTTACAGCCCATTGCATTTTCTTTCGAAATTGGTTTCTACCATAACTTTTGATTGAGAAGTCTGATCGAAAAAGTACGAATTGTTTTGGATTCTACGCACCAAAATTAATAAGAAAAAGTGTTTTCCCGAGAAATTTTGGTGCATTCGATTTTTGGTAAAAAAGGAAGGTTATACACTGCCTTTTTTTGAGCCCCGAAAAAAAAATTGTCTCAGATCGACCCAGAAAAAAATTTTTCTTATAGAATGTGGCCTGTAGAATCCATAATTTCTATTGATTTTTTATCTGTTGTGAACCGATCACTTCTCATTTATTAGTTTCGTACTTTGTATAATTTAGTGTAGTCTTTGAATAATTTCATATTCAAAGGTGTAGTGTAGTTTAACGTCGGCAACGGGAAGTTTAACATTGAGTTGAGTGTAAACTTCTGATGCATATTATCACAGATTTAAATACCTATACTAAAATCTGTGATATTATGTATATACCTACCACCCTATCGATGCAGGAAATTTGCACCTCGTAATAAACGTTGTAAAATGAGTGAAGTTCTTGCCTTCACAACGGCTTAGCTATACTTACATGGAATTTTGAATATCTTGATAAATTGAACGTTTCAAAATGTTTAATCTATCGCAATAAATGATCACAGATTACAGTTATGCTAATTTTCTATTTTGCTTGGTAGGTACTTCAAGAGATCTCTAACCCCCTATCATTGTTTAGTATTTAAACAATGCCTCTAGCCAACGTATCGATTTTGAGCCCGATACAGTCTCTTCTTCTAACGCTGTTAGAATGTTAAACCGTGATGCCAAGACCGTTATTTATAGAAAAATTTCTTTGAGAAAAACACGAAACGTTCGGTCTCATCAATTCATAAAATAACATCATTAACATAAAATTGTAGCTGTGCACTTTTTCAATTTTAACTGCGGAAGTAATTCCGCCAAGAGAAGGGGTCGAATCATATGAAGAACCCACTGTGATAAGTTGAATCAGACAATAAAAAATGATACATGTAGACTACATTGAACGATAGAAATTTGGTCATTATTAAACGAGTTATTTATACAGGGTGATTCCTATAGTACCTGCCACCGTTTGGGAGCGTATAGGGGGTGCCTAGGGGAGTATTTTGATATAGGACACTTGGGGTCGGAAATCTGAAATAAGGGCGCCAGAACCAAATTTATCTTCTGGAATTTCACGCCTGTATGTAGGCAACCCAACCGACCGACGTTTCGCGCGGAGCGATGCAGAGCGAGTTAGCGCGAGGAAGCGACATGGGAGGGAAGGAGGGAAAACGACAGTCAAAAGCAATAACATTTACAAGTGTTCAACGTGGCCACCGTTGTTCTCATCTAGCCAACTATTATTATACTATTGCCATAGTGTTTATTCACTTGATACGCGTCGTTGCAGACGGGATTTCGTGGGTTTAAACAAAATTCTGATCAAGTGTCAGCCACACATCGCCGCCTGAGATCACTCCGTGTGCACCGCCGGCCGGTTGGGTTGCCTACCTACAGGCGCGAAATTCCAGAAGGTAAATTTGGCTCTGGCACTCTTATTTTAGATTTCCGACCCCAAGTGTCCTATATCAAAATACTCCCCTACGCACCACCTACACGCTCCCAAACGGTGGCAGGTACTATAGGAATCACCCTGTATTTTTGGTATGAGTGCACATGATTTATTTAGAAAATTTAATTCATTGCAGCTTTCCTGCATCATTCCTTTTCCCCATACATCGTTACTCTTTGGCATTGAAACGTTTCAATTATGTATACCTACCTAGAGACCGAATCGCTACTTTACAAAGGGCTTTCGAAGTCTTATTTACTAGTATAGACTGACACACAAATTAAATTTTTTACTCTGCTAATTCAACAGCTATTGCCCATTTCATTGAAAATAAATTAGAAAGCGTGTCGTGTTATAAACTACGCCATTGCCCACTCTTTTGCGATTGAAATAAACGTAACGAGCGTCATTATTTCAAGATCCATAGACGTCGGCTTGTATAACTACCCTATTCCGAGGACCGTCATTTGTCCTCCTTCCGTTTTGAATATCGCGCACCCCCCTTTTAACCCTTTTTTTAGTATCTCCCCCATACTGAAGTATACCGGGGGCTGCATTTCGTCCATAAAATTTAATTATCGCATTTATACTGTGGGCACGAAATTGTCTACTAAAACAGTGTTCCATTAGTTAAATAGTTACGGCGGTCAGTGATGGCTTTTCCGGGATAATCTCGTGAAATATTTAAATAAATCGATCGCGTATCTACTTTACTCGGATACTTGTCTCGTAATGGTATTACTTGCGGTATAATTTGCGTTTAAAAGTCAATGTCCTGTATGGATCAAACGTGAATCTCAGTTGTTCTGTTTTCAACGGAAGAATTTTCTAAGCAGTTAAACGTTCGGGAAAGGATGTCGTTTATAATTGAACCAAACGTGGAATGTTTTTGCTCGACTACCATGGTCTGCTCCACGTTGCTGATTCGACTGTTGACCTCAGCGACAGGACTCAGGGACGGCCTCGCTGCAATATATTCTTGTACGGCTCTCTCCAGTACTCCGCGTTCTTGCGAGAAAAAGTGTGCAATATGTTCGTGTAACTTTGCGCGGGGTCTCTCTTGTAAAACGTGTCGGGTAGCTAAAGCCACCAGAGCCCTGATCTACAGATGAAATTCAAGGACGTTCACTTCAGGAGATAACTCACCTCGGGATGGGTCGCCAAATACTGTTCATTTTCGCGAACCTTTTCTTTTTTCAGTTCTCGCAGGCGATCTTTTTGGCATGTTGTGAGGATCTTAGTGTCATAATACTTCGTTCCACGTGGAGTATTGCACGGATGAAAATTGTACTCTTCCACAATGGACTCGCTATCGTCTGCCATTATTGACGTTTGTCAGGTGTGGTATCTGTATTTTCCGTAGCGATCTATTTTCCAATTGAAAATAGGCGCTAAGTGCAAATTGCAGTACAATGCTGGCCTGCCACCATTTGAAAGATTATTGAAACATTTGGGGCCAGTTTTCGTAAAGTCAGTCCCCAGTACATGACCTAAGTACAAGGAAATCGATTCTTCCAAATTTAGCTGGGGAAATTCTTTGGAATTGGCACAAATGTTTAATGAAGATGTTTTATTCGCTTCAGAGTGAACACGAAACTTTCCATTACGTCCAGGTCATAACTCCAAGGAGCCATTCGAAACGACTCCGACTAACATAAGATCTCCAACAGCATGAGCTCCTCGTTTGGTAATGTTCTGAAGTATTGTAACAAATGCAAAAGTATTCCTTACGAAATATCGTTCTTGCACCTTCTTCTTAACTTCTTCCATTAAATTATATCGTTCTGGTAGGCCTTCTGCTTTCTCCTGGTCATGAAAAATTCCTAGGGCCCTAATGACTCGAGAAGGGCTCAAGGGATGTCGATCGCCGTTATCTTCTGTAACCACTGTGAAGGTGCGGTCATTTATGGTTCTCCCCTGGTCATAATCCTAAGCTTTGATCTTCCTAATATCCTTGAGGAGGTCCTTTATCAAGCGAATTAATCTTTCCCTAGGAGCTACGTGTGGGATGAAGGTCCATTGTATCTGTCGAATGTCCCATTTTTTTCACTTTTTCCCGCTCTACACTATTAAACAAATTAGCCGCTCCCACGAACTTTGTTTCGTTATCTGAGAAAGTTGTATTGGGCCTTCCAAGGCTCCCACAAATGCACAGATGCCCTGGAGATGAAGTCTTAGTTGTCTTCTCTACACCAAAATCGAGTTTCCACGTGAATAGTCCTTGGGGATCACGCTTCATATTCAATCGGCCTGTCTTATCAGTTACACCGGGGAAAGTTTCTTGTTGAAGAGACCTCAGCACGTACGCTTCCGTCCGTCGTTACTTTGAATCAGCCCAATAGAAAAAGGAGCATTTATTTGAACTCTTTCACCAAGTGAATAAACCATTATCACTGTTCAATGTACCGATTTTGCAACTAAATAACTTTAAAGTGCTATTTGTCACTACTATGATTTGACAACAATTGACAATCACTATTAAACTTCAAAATGTTGCTATAATAACGCTCTCAACAATAACCAAGATTTCCGTTGCAGAATTGGCATAGCCACCTACAGGTATTAAATAGAAAAAAAAAAAAACAACAAAAAGTACGGTTCAGAATGTAGAAGAACAACATTTTTTGTATTTATTGTTGTATTAATTTTTGTTATTTAACTAATTCATTTACAAACATTTTTTTTTCATAAGAAAATGTTGACACGTTTTTATAACTTTTATTAAAGTTAAGGGTTATCACTCGACCCCCCATTCGATTTAAAATTTTGGGGGCGGTCGTCACCCCCGCTAGGGCTTTGCCCTTAGGGGGGGGGGCGAAACTAGCAAAAAAAATGGTTCCCCCTTGAATCAATAATTGACGGGTCCGAGGATTTTTTCGTAAATGTTTTGAGGTTCCCAAAATAGGCTCTGTTTCATTTTCAAATGGCCACCCTGTATGTTTTTTCACTACTAGCGTCTGATGACATGATTATTAACCTTTTTTCCACTTGTAAAGTGTAAGTGTAAGTTGTAATTAACACATTTTGAAAGAACTCGAACGAAATTACTCTTTGAAAATATCTCAATGACAGAACAAAATACGGCCTGTTTGACTTGTACTTCTACGTCCTTGATTGACATGTTAAATTAAGAAACAAAAAATTCTGTCCAACTGTTCACTTTCTTACCAATATAATATGTTAATTTAGAGGACTTCAAGTGCTAGTAGTGAAAAAAATAGTATATATACCACGGTAGAGAAGTCTATATAGGTAGGTACAATAAACGGCTTTGTAGGTCAGTGATAGAGCGTTAGGCTAAAAACCCAGGGCGGGTGTTTGAACCTGGGCTGAGGTAGGTTCATCTGTGACAGAGATGGGAATTTCTTTAAATCAGTTTAGTAGTATAGAACAACTTAATACCTTCTGCAGGGGTACGTCTAAAAAGCATTATGTGGGGCACTCTGTAATTGGGCGTAATCCTGTTGAGGGCCCAGAACAAGAGAGGGATAATATTGTTTAAATTCCAAGCTGTTGATCTAGAAATTTGTGAGTGGGACTTTGGCATATGCTGCAGATTGGGACGGGGGTCGTAAGGAAAGGAAAAAATATACATATTGGTCCGGAACGTTCATTTTCAAAATGTTTTACGGAAAAATAATAAAAAAGGAATCCCGAAAATTACCAATCTGTTTTTACAAGTACAATTCATCCGATCTTTTTGAAAATCCGTATTTGGTCATTTCTTTTGATGACAAAACAATATTACAAACCCGATCACCGTAGGTATCATAGTCCTTGATTAATTAAATAAACAAATTAAAAAGACTATGCTTTAGGTGACTCCCAGAGCGTTCTCAATTTTTTTTACAGTTAGTGAACCCTAAAACAACCTTTTTCAACAATTGTGCCGATGATTCTTACAAATCGACGGGCTGTGAAATTTTTTTCAAAATCCGATGAATTTTCTTAGTTAACAAATGGATTAATTTCCAAAATACAACAACAAATGTAAATCTATAATAGGGGAATGGAAAGCTCTCAGAAAGACCTACATTAAAAAAAAAATATGCACAATTCCGATTAAGATCTCACGAGAAATCAGCTTTTGACTTTGGGCATGTGTTCGAGACAACCAACAATTCTTTAAAACTTGAACTTTTCTTATACCTATTATCTATTTGACCCAAATGTATGATATTTATTAATCAGAGTGCCAAGGGTCTATTATAGAGTTACCTTTCTTATTATATTTCGGGAGTTATTTCATTTGTTTAGTTAACTAGAAAAATTCCAGTCCGTCGATTTACAAGAATCATCGGGACAATTTTTGGAAATGGTTGTCTTAGAGTTCCACCATCAAAAAGATCGGATGAATTTTTCTTAGTAGAAACAAATTGTTAATTTTCGGGATTATTTTTTACATTTTTCCATAAAAAACAATAATATTTTAAAATGAACGTTCCATACCAACTGTACCTGTACAAATTTCGATTCTAAAGAAATTTAGCTCTATTCATTTTCGCGCTGAGAGCAATAGTTAACGAGATAATTGAAGTCAAATGCGAAAAGAAACAACATTTTGTCAACAAAGCGAAACGCTGGAAAATGCTTACTAATTAATTCATGGTTACATGGTGTTTACAGCGGTTACGATAGCGTAATTGTGAATGTGATGCACTTTTTTTCCAATCCAAGCCGGCGTATTTTGCAGTACTTTGCATATCTAAACTTTACAAAGACTTAGGTACTAGACTTCAGAAGATTATAAGGGACAAAGCTTCATGAAGCTTAGGGAATTTACGTGCAATACATGTCAATAGTCTTTCAAAGATGTAGGTAGGACATGGATTTCACGTTCGAAACTAAACCCCTCTGCATTATATTATTGATTTATTTCGCGCTGTCTTATTCAATGCTTGCAATAGAAGTGACCTATTGGAAACCGATTATAAAATAAATGATCCAGAAAGCGCCAAGCAGTATGTGTTGGTGTAGCTAATCTCTTAATAAGCATAATCGCTCCCTTTCCATCTATCAATACCATAAACTAGCTGATGGGGGTTTCACAACTTCGAACCCATTCTGTCATTTTGCGACTAATTACTAACCGCAAGCGTGCAGTTAAATAGATGTTAATTTGAAATTAAACCGCGGACGTGCCGCTTTTGTTATAGTAATTAACGCAATTTTATATAAATAAATGTTGATTGTCGTCCAGGTTCGTGTGATTTTCTTGTCTTATAAAATTTATTTATTGTTGAATATTTATAAAGCGTTAGAAATTTAGGCACGAAAGTGGTTTTTTGTCGGAATAGTAAAATAAGACGATCGGTACGGATGTTTTTGGATTGAATCTCAATTGGATTGAAGTCAACTTCCACACTTAATCTTAATAAACATCTCATCTAACGACAGCTACAAGCGATCGGTTTCAAGATTCCACATTTTTGAAAATTTTGACACTAATTCTGTTTAAACTTTGCAAAAATGTTTTGTGAACTAATGGGAAGAGGATTCAAAATCTACAATGCTCACATCTTGGGAACGAGGCATCGGATATAAAAGGCAAGAATATATTTTTGATAGGTGCACAGAACTAATCATGCACATATACATACCTATGTATTTCATAATTATTTTGCTCATGTTGAGCAAAGACGTCGGAGGTGTTGTGACAATAGTAATTTTTAAAGGGAAATCAATGTCACTTTATGCATTAAATTTTGTAATTTTTTATATTGTTATGGAAACTAAATCACGTAGACCACGGGTCGGCAACCTATTGAAACGGAAGAGCCAATAATTTCAATTTACAAAATTTCCCAGTTTTTAAAGAGCCAGAAAAAATTTTTGATTCAATATTATAGTATTTGGTTATATACAGGGTCCTGCAATAGTGCGTCAGTTTTTCCTACATAGCTGATACCTGGTAAAAAATATTGGTGGTTGCGGATCTACAGAAATTATTTTTGAATGTACAGGGTGTGCCATTTTTACGATGTCAATAAATAACTGATCTTTTTAAATAGAACATCCTGCATATTTTTACTTGTTTCAATGGCATTTGTTCAAACGGCTATAGCTATCCTTTTTCAAATGGAACTACCACTATTTTATTTCGCTATTCGATTGTCTTTTGTGTTCTCTTCAATGTTTATAAGGGGTGCTCTGTGCTTAAACCCAGCAGTTTTATTCAATATTTTTCACAAAAGTACCTACTCATTAATTAATTAATTACGTGTTTATTACATCAGAGTAGTGTAATGTTCCTAGGGGGTCTATCAAGCAGACAAGGAAAACGTTGACTTACCCTATACTTACGGTTGGCAACTCTGGCAAAAACTACAAGCAGAGCCACCTACCTTACAAGTCGAAACGATGGTAGTCTCGTGGCACTTTTGAATTTGGATGACAGTCGATTCGATATGGGTGGCACGAATGGACTCCTACGTTGTGTAATCGGTTCTTTTATGTGTTGGGCCGTGAGACATAATCGGGAAGGGAATTAAATAAAAGACAGAACTTTTGTGCGTAAGAAATGACAAGATCAAATAAATATATTAACGCACACACAAGACCATGCCAGGGAAACCTTCTACGGGACTAAAACCCTGGCACAGGCCACACAAATACATGAAATAAATCACCTACAGCAATAAAATGCAAGAGAAAATACACATAAATAAAACATCGCAAATGGTATGATAAAAATCAGATAATCAAATCAAGTGCAATTAAACAAGTTCATAAAATCAAAATACACAAGACATCATAAATGCAGTGGAAAACATGATAAATCAATTCAGTACAAAACACATCAAAATACCTGTACGATCAATACAGATAACACAACTCGTCAAATAAACAAACTGCATGTACATAGGAAACATGTAAATGGTGTGGCTCTACTCCATCCTTCAGTTAACATAATTTAATTTAACACGAAAAGTACATGTGAGAATGTCATTGGCCAAGTAGCAAGTATTCATGTGAAAATCGATTATCGCTCAAACAGAACATATTTTAAATAGAGGAAATGTAAATGAGAGGGCCCCCACTCGTATTGCTAAGATGTTAAGAACTACAATCCACACGAGACGAGTAGGCAACAGATACAGCGAAAGATCTAACTGCATTAGGTACCTACTCCACGGAGACAGAAATACCCACTCGCACACACAAACATCGAAACATCAAATAAAAGAGCCCCCCGTCGTATAGCTAATGCGCCACGAATAAGAAAGTAACAGATACAGCGAACAATCTAACTGTATTAGGTGCTTCCCTCACGGAATGGTTACGGGTCAATCGAACAGAGCAACATCACACCGATAATCAACTCCTCATGAATAACAGAAATAAATTACTTAATTAAACAAAATAATCGCATAATCATCTGTACAGTATTACACAAACATGATTCATCTAACGGTACTCACTCAAACAAAGGCATGGAGTACGCCATGATTCAGATATCGTAGTTTATGCAAAATCAGCAAAATGTAAATATCACATTGTGGCAAGAAATTCAATGATTAAATATCTAGTACAAGAAAGAATAAAATGGTTACTACCTGTAAATACATCTTCAAAACACCACCACCAAAAATAATCAAGAATAATAAAAAAAAACCGGGAAAGCGTGTGTCTTCCGTCGACCTCGTCGCCATCTTCTCCATTCTCCTAGCTTCGTTACGAAAATCCCCTAGTATTCGGCATCTGCGCAAAACGGTCGTTGGTTATATACAGAGCATATTATATTTTTGTTTCAGATGTAAATGTGTGTTGCCTAACCATCAGGGTGGATTATCACAGTAGGCTGCTATAATAAAAAACCAAAAGAATACCAGAAAGTGTCACAAATTATATAATTATTTGCTGCAAGTGTACTTTGATTTAGTAAACAAATGAACTAATTTCTTTTGATAAATACGGAGAGCCGCAACTTTATATCAAAAGAGCCGCATGCAGCTCGCGAGCCGCAGGTTGCCGACTCCTGACGTAGACGATATTTTCGTGTCGGTACCTTCAATACGTTGACCCAACCTGCATGTGATATAATTTCAAATTATTAAGTAAATCAGGGGAAATATTTACGAAATAATTACACAAAATTAGTTTGTTTCATTTGAATTTGAATTTTCAATGTTTAGTTTTTCCTTTTAGTAGTTACGTAGTTATCTTTTTAATTATATTGTTTTCAAATAGTTCAATTTAGATAAACAGCTAAGAAACATCTGGTTGGCCTTTTATAAATAAAAAGTTTTTACTTATTCGTTCACCATAAGCAAAGGTTAACTAATTTTAAGGAAAGTTACATCTGGTCCTGATAACGAAACTGACGCGATTCAAGTCCAATATTGTGATTGGCGGTGTGTTGGAAAATTTCTGTGTAGTAGAAGTGGTGGTCTTTTAAATATTGCAATCAACGGAAAAACAAGGCACGACGGTTAAGGAGCGAGTGCATCTTTTTAGAATAAATTCTCAGGCAGTCGGCCCTATTTGTTTAGTTGAAGACAGTTCATCATTTTTTATATCTTTATAAAGTCACTGTCTGATGTTTATATGATTTGAAGCAGCAGCCTGATATTGACATTTTGTAGACGTAGTATGATTATTCTTGTATATTTCAATTTATTGTTGAGGTAAATCTAGTAAAAAAAACTTCTAATTAAAAATGGTTAATGAATTGCTCCATTTTTTAGAGTTCGGTGGGTTTTAATTAAAGTATGAAGTATTTTCCGAACAGACGTTTATTATGTTAACATAATAAACGTCTGTTCGGAAAATACTTCATACTTTAATTCCAATTAAAAGATCTATTAAATTAGTATAAATAATATTTGTTACATAATCAATTGCTATCATTATTTTTATTATAACTAAATTACTAATAATTATTAATAATTTAATTTCTTATAAACCAATCACAGATCGCGAAAAAAGTTCCCCGTTTGAATGTCGATTTGACCCAAAATCTTCTCGAGTTCCATTTTCTTTACAATTTTTTTAATTGCAGTCATTTTCCTAATTTTTGACATTGAAATTACCGCTTATTTTAACAATAAAAGTTACTCACCCTGCTTGCTTTATTATAATCACATCATTTTTTATTATTATCTTAATCCTAGGATTGCTACTTGAGTGAAAACAAGGAGCTTTAAATTGCGCCTACTAGAATAATAGTTAAATTTAACATTTAATTTGCATTTAAAAAATACTGATTATTCAATTTATCTTGAATAAGAAACAAACAATTGTAATTAGTTTCGACCTAATCTTTGACACCTAGCCCTTATTTTTAAATGAAACCAAAAAGAGGCAGAAGCCATATACATTGTAAAAGTTTTAACAGTTCTGAATTTAATTTAGACGTCAAAAATAGCAAGTTTAGGTTCTGATGTCGCGGTCCTTTCTATAGAAACAGCATTGTCTTATGTTCCGAACGTCATTTTATACCGTGATTCACGTCCCGCGTCATTTGAAATAAGATTGACAGATGTCATTAGAATACACATTACACAATCATCTGTTTCACTTTATTATCTACCCTTACGGTTAAAGTGATCACTTTATCTACCCTCACGGTTAAAGAGTGACCCATTAAAACCGATTAAACTGTCAATTTAACATATGCTATAAAATAGAAAACCTTTTGCCATTGTTCTTAAATATTTGCTTATTTTTCAAGGTAAAAATGACATTTTAAACTTGTGCACCTGACAATTCCGTATTTTAAAGCTAAATGAAGTTCGAGTTAAGTGTGCCTAGTATCGCAAACCTTTTTCAACCAGATTATTTTGATTATTAAAAAAACTGTAAGTAATTTAAAATTTCTTATTTAATTCTCGACCGCCTGAGTCCGGTGTAATATGTCCAGGCTTTGTAAGCCTTTCTTTCTTTCGGGGATTTTGTTTTAATTCTTTAATGTGTTTCGAAATAATGTTTTGTCATTGTCAATCAATTAATTGTGTGTTTATTCGAATCCAAAGTGCGACTCAGATAAACTTTTCATGTCCGATTTCTCTATTTATTTTAGATGTTCATAAACAATTATTTGTAATGTTCGGAAGTTGATCGTGGTCAATGAATCTCTCAAATTGGGAAATTTTAGGTCAATATTGGGACTTCTTTTATAGCAGATGCCGGATGTGTACGAGGAGAGGTTATACAATTCTAAATTTTAATCTTGATTTGTTTTAAGCTAGCGGGGCAGGCGTTTTGTGGGTGGCGTAGTTGCCGTTTGTCATTGCACATAGCAATAAAAATTATTATTTTAACTTAACACGCCTCGAGTTTCTTCGAATTAGGTACTGTTTTTCGGTCACAAAGTTTATTTGGCAAAGGTTTTTTCAATAAAGTACCTAAGGTAATTGTGTACCATTTTGCTCTAAAACTTTCTTCGATATCATTTATTATAAAGGAATTATCGAGGGAATTATGGTCCGAAGTGTCTTAGAAGCTACACCCTGTGCATATACATTATAATATGCATTATTTACCCACCTAACTGGTTGTTATGCAATTTTGTTGTAAATATAGATATTACAAATGCACTTTTTAAAACTTTGAGGTTATGTCAGAATAATCTGATCTGATCACTCATTTACAAATAGAAACTCCGATATAAAAATGATTTTTTATTCAACAATTTACATTGCCGCATTCTTTCATTACACAATCCTCCCCACTTATTAATTTGTCTTTGATTTCTGAAGAAAACAACAAGACTGGAGTAGTTCTAAACTAAGGATTAGTATGGCGATGATTCTTGCTCAAACGTGACACTCTTCCAACCGTTCTTTTCGGATCAGATTTTTATTTAGAAATGAAGTCCAGAATTCATGCTCGAAGTCATCGTCGCCACGTTGAATACATTCGTTCGGGTTCGTTTTTGGATTAATGCAGGTTACATTTGCTTTTCCGGCTTCAACCGCCTTAAACGTAATGGTCGCATTCTGTCCCCAGCTACGTAACTTATCATAGCACGCACACGTCCAAGGATTTCCGTTCATCTCAAATCGTTTTATTGTGGGTCGTATCCTCTCCAGCATATCATCAGAAATATAAGTAAGGTTATTATGGTCAATATTGACTAATGTCAATTTCGAAGGTGATGGCAGATTGAATTCCAAACTTTTAAGATTGTTGTCATTCAACAGCAATGTTTCCAAATTGACTAAACCCTTAAACGCATCTTTGTCGACGTACTCGATCTGATTGGCGTGAAAATCCAAAAACTCAACACTCGGTAAGTTGACAAAGGCCAACGTTGGAATGTCACACATGATGTTCCCCCCCAAATAAATTTTCCGCAGCTTGGGAGTCTTATGGAACCAAGCTTGGTCGAAACTGTCCAAATAATTTCCAGACAAGACGACCTCCTCCAACATCGGGAGGTTGTTGAAGGAACGCGGCCAAAAGTCGACGATTTCGTTATCATACAGACCCACCAGCTTCAGCGACGGCAAATCCTTGAACGAATTCTCGAAGATCCTGCGAATTTTATTTCTGCCCATGTCGACGCGCACGAGTCCGGGAAGATTTAAGAACGCATCTCTTCGTATGATTTCGATGGTGGTGTGGTGGAAGTAGATGGCGAACTCGTTGGCCGAAATATTCTGCACAGCTCCCTCGTTCAAATCGAATATGTTTTCGTCGGATATCGCGATTTCTTTAATGTTACCGTCAAAGTTGAGGGTTTCTGGTGACATACAGCCACTAATAAACATCTCGGTTCCTGTGTTGACCCGTATTATGTTGTTGTAGAATGTCGGGGTTGAGCATTGTAACGAAATTTGTATAAACAACAATATCACGCACTTCTTAATCATTGCGATTCACTCACGAGGCTTGCTAACCTTCTACTGATTAACTTAGGCGTGTCTTTTCTTTTAGTTTAAACACCGTGCTAATTTACGGGTAATCCCAATTTGAAAATCGCGTGAGAAGAATTATTGTGGAGAGGTGTTATACCTACCAGGAAAAATCCATTGCGTCAAAATTTGATGGTCAAATACCTAATCGCCGTTAGGATCATCGTCATTCATAAATAAAATATTACCTTGTAGTATGTAAAAAATGGGAAGAATTGTTTACATGACCAGTTTCTGTCAAGGTTGTACGCCCGTCCATACATCCGAACCTAGGAGGAATTATGCTTCAGTATGTTTAAGACTTTGCATACATTTAAATGTTAATTTCAAAGAGCACAAACGAAGAGTAGAACAAACACGGTTGGTTATGGTTGGGGGCCTAGCTAAAAAAACTGTTATTCTGGTCGAAAGTAAGCACAATCGATTAATTTCTTCACTTACCTATCCAAAGAAATTCTTTACCAAATATCGTAAATTAGATACTAATTTACGCATCTTGATATGTCTTCATTAAAAATTCTGCTTTAGTGCTTCACATCGATAAATAGTCATCGATAAAGGGTTTAGGTTTTCGGACGCAACTCACATTCAAAAACCGAAAAGCCTTTGACACATTAATTTGTGATCGTTTTGTGCTGATTTATGCGCCAAGCATGGGGTTGCAACGTAATGCCTATACTAATATCCCAAATCGAGTTCAATTTTACCTATGTACGTGTTAAATAAGTTCCCGTTGTTGATTTGTGTGGAAATATACAAATGTTAAAGTACTAGGGCAACTTTTCTTTGGGGAAATGCACTAGACTAGAAAGAACCAAAACACTTTTTCAAAAAATATTTCGTTTTTAGAACTACGCCCACTAAATTCCCAACATTTTCAAATTTATACCCCTAGACGATGCACCCTTACGCAAAAGTGTGTACCCGTAACGATTTGGTGATTTTATATCACTCACTTCCGGTTTTATCTTAGATTCTACATCTTCAGATATCTCTAGGGCGTAGAGATGCTGAACAGCTCATTTTTCGTCTTCACTTCGGCCACTCGTACCGTAGACATGACTTGGGAGAATGCTGACTATTTTTCCAAGTAGCCATTCGAACCTTTTCCCGACAAGTATTTAGCGTTTCCACTTTCAAAATTTCTCTGCCTTTCATGTTTTTTGTTGAGTCAAGACTTTGTAGTTCAATGGTAGAGCGTTGGGCTATAAATCCGGTGGTCGGGTACTCTGGATACTCCTTTCTGAAACAAAGTTTGTAGAGATTTATGGATCTCCAATACCTTCTTACGTTGAATACGTAAATCACTTGCAGTATGCTTCCTTCCCTTCTGGAAAACTTGAGCACTGCAATCCTCGCGAAGAAAGATCCATCTCTAGATTGTATCGTTTAGGTAATATAACCGACTTTGTAGTTCAATTGTAGAGCGTTGGGCTATAAATCCGGTGGTCGGGTGTTCGAACCTGGATTTGAGGTGAATTTTTCATGGCAGAGATGGGAATAGGGTGGTTCGACATTTTTTGTATTTCTTTTATTCTAACTAAAATTGAGAGATTTTGTTATTAAAAAACGATCAAAAAAATTTGAGGGCAAAATATTAATATTTACGTCCGCTGCAAGTATTTTAAAATCGAGGGTCACCTCGAAGAGAAAAAACGTACCTGTGCACGAGACTGGCAGAGTATACGAATTCATGACATCTTCATGACATTTTTTCTAGGAAATAGTTTGTAATTATACTACCATTTTGTAGGTATGTAAGTATGTATGGATAATAGGATAGTCAATAAGTGATGTCATAAAAGTCCCAATTTTTCTAGACCTACTTATATAAAATTTTGGAGGAAGTTGTAACGCCCAAACCCCCTCCCATGAGTGCGCCCCTGATATTTTAAAGATGTAATTATTTTCATTGTTTTGTTGCCTCGAATAGATTTTGTTTTGTTTTTTTTAATTCATCACAGACTACTTGATTAAAATATAAACACCGTTAATATAACTGGTATCTATACAGTGGCGCATTTACAATAGGCACACTAGGCACTTGCTTAGGGGCGACATCTTTATAGAGCGGCATTTATTTGCACTATATTTATGATAGGTAATATTTTAAGTTTTAGTCCTCTAACAAGTTACAAATGACAAAAACTTTTAATTAAAATTATGAAAATAAATTGGAATTGGTAGGTAGTTTAAACAAACTGTAACTGTAAGATCGATAATCGACAACTCAAGTTTTGACGTATGAAAACTTAATCTTAGGTATACTGTATTTCTTTTCATATTAGTTTTAAAAATTTCAAGTTGTAATGTGATTTTTATTAGTATCTTTTACATTTTAAAATTTATTGCAATTTAAAGATTATTTTTGGAGGGGCGCACATCTTTCGGTGTGCCTAGGGGTGCAAAAAATTTAAATCCGCCACTGTATCTATATAAGACATTCAAGGGAATGACTAGTTTTTGTTTTTTTGAATTAACATCGAACCTATTCGACATTTCGAATTTCCACAAGGAAATTTCATATAAGCATCTAAAACTGCAAAACATTGTCCATTTAACCAATTTTCTATCTTTAATAATAAAACAGTTGCCCATGCAATCCCACGTGATCTGGGACACACTGTATATAGTTAGGTATATACTATAAAAGGTTCCCAAAAACTATAATACCGCAAAGATTTATGTTTACGGCTCATGTTTGAGCGCATGATGAAAGGTACGCTGTAGTGCAAAAACTATGTTAAAAAACGTACAGTTGGCCCCTCCCAAATGTATTTTCGGATTTCTAAAAAAACGATAATGGTGCAATTTATTGTCGGTGGAGCATGTAACTACACAACTAGCGCATTCATTTATAATAATACTATCAAAGTGGGAGGGGGGCAAAGCTGGGTACTGCTCGCGAGCGTTTCGCTCAAAAAAGCGCCGCAAGCGGAAAAAGCGCTTGCGAGCGGAGTACTTTTCGAAGCGTGCTCGATACTCGAGCGTTTACTTAAACTGCTCGTAGTTCGAGCGCTTTTATCTGCCTGCGAACGGTTTTTCCGCTTATGAGCGTTTTTTTCGCTCGTGAGCGCTTTAAACCACCCCCAAACGCTGAAGGATTAAGTGCCTCTCGCGAATGTTTTTTCCGCTGTCGAGCGGTTTTTTCCGCTCCCAAGCGCTTTTTCCGCTCTTGAGCGTTTTTTCCGCTCACAAGCACTTTTCCCGAGCGCTCGCGATAAACCGCTCGAGCACTTTTAGGAGTGCTCGGAACTCGCAAGTGGTTTCGCTTTGCAAAACAACTCGATGCTCGCGATCATTTTTGAGAAAATTCGTCGATCGAGCGGTTTTTTAGAACGCTCGACCCAGCTCTGGATGGGGGCCAAGTTAACGGACCCCAGCCTTTCTTGCTGTAAATTCAAGCTTCGATAATTCGCCCCCAGGTAAATTCGCCCTAGGAAGGTTCGCCACCGGAATATTTGCCCCTGGAGTATTCGTCCCTGAAAATTCGCCCTCGGACGACTCGCCCTCAAAGTATTCGCCCTAGAAAATTCGCCACCGAAAATGCGCTCACGAAATATTCGCCTCTGGAGTTTACGCCCCGGATAAGTTTAGCCCGGATGATTCGCCCCTGAAAATTCCACTCCGGGCGTTTCAGCCTCAGAATATTCGCCCTAGAAAATACGCCCCCGTAATATACGCCTCTGAGAAAATTAACCCTCGGAATTTACGCCTCGGATAATGTTAATCACGAAGATTCGCCCTCAACAATTTTCCCCGTGTACGATTGGAATACTCGCTACAAGGAAGAATCACGTTCAGTCAAGTTCGAACCTAATGTGTAGCCAGTCCCAAATGCTTGCGTTCGTTTATTAACCTCTAACCTAAGGTGGTATAACATAAATGGTAGGTAGATATGTGGGTCAACAGTATGCATAATTTCCCCATAAAAATCTCTCCACCTTTAAATTTACGGGGTATCGTATCGTATGGTATTCCCTAGTTTTCAGGTCGCATCAACAGCCGTCGGTGTAACTTAACGATAGTCGTGGTGTTATCACTTTATCAGTATTTGTAATATGAGTACATTATTGAGACTTTCGACTATAGGAAGATCCACCCCAATAATTTCATAAGTCGTCCCTGGCATATTATAATTAGCCCCCAAGAAATGACACCGACAGGGTAATTCGCGTCCGGAAGATTTGCTTCCAAGATACTACACCTCCAAAATATTCGCCGCCTCCGGAAGATTCGCCCTCAAAAGATTTACGTCGAGAAGTTTTGAAAAAATTGATTTTCGCCCATACTTTTGACCAGGGGCCTATTTCACAAACTTTTCACTTGTCACTTTGCAATTTCATAATTTTAAAGTGCAAAGATTATTATCTATTTCAAAAATATTTTAGTCAACGTAGCATTAATTGTGTTATTCATCTGTACTTTACATATTTTGAATGTTGGCATGTGTCAAAATAGTCTTTTTCTACAATCGATATCCAAAGTAGGCATTTGCGCTCGTATTTGACAACGCAAACGTCATCTTTTTCGAGGAATGTCACTTTGTCGCTTATCGACAAAATAGAAAAAACGCTCGCTCTCCCAATTATTAAGTATAAATCAAATATGCATTGCTCAGAGTATCCAATGACAACGAGTAAATGACATCTTTCATTTGGGCATAAGATTAATATGATTTGAGTGAAAAATTTAAATTTCTGGAAATATGTGAACTGCTCCATTGTAGAAAAAATCTTGTGTGTAATTCGAGCGCAAATTGATTGTCGATTTCAAGAGATTGCCGCGCTCCTTCGTCGCGCGTCAACTGTCTCTTTCAATCGACAATATATCATTTTGCGCTCTTAATACACAAATAGCTATTATGGACCCAAATATTATCAGAAAAATTCAAAGTAACAAGTGAAAAGTTGCGATAAGACGATATGGTGTGGTGAAGTTCCTGTGGCGAGGATACTGCCGGCAAATTTTTAAAGGACGAATCTTCTTTGAGCAAATACTCCGGGGGCGAGTTTTCTTGGGAGCTTGTGTGCTGTGACTTTGATCTACAAATTCACAAGTTTTACAATTTTTTGTCGAAAAAGACACA